CAGTGGATATCAGTCCAGCTGTGGCTGTCTGGCAGTGAAATACTGTGCATAATAATGTTAGGATTATTCGAACTGATGCTGGCTTGAGCCTGAACTAGACACTCTGCTGCAATGATTGAGCCTCTTAAAACAGTCAGAGTTCTCATACTCGGTGTTCTGTTCTGACCTAACTACCTTACAATACAGTACAAAAAAATCACAATTATATCTCAGTGCATCACAGTATTGTAACTGGACTCCAGTAACTGATGCTCAAAACAGCTTCAGAAATCAAGGTACTGAAATGAAACAGTGAAGTTTGAAACCTGCCTACTATTTTTATTTGTATATTGTCTTTTTTATATATGCCCATCTGCCCACCACTAACATAGCACACAAAAAGTTCAGGCTCCCCTAGCCCACATGGATCCATCATGCAAAAGTCTGAGCACACTTTGTCAAACTATGTTTTGTTAAGTGAAAATAAACATGTAATTTAACCAGGGGCGCCCAAACTTTTGGATACAGCTGAGCCACCCAGTCCAGCTCCACTCTTCTCCACTTTTACCATTCTTTCTGATCATCTCTCTGTTTTACCCCCACAGTCGCTCAGTGGAGCTGAACGGCTATACGGCTGCTCTGAGGGAGCAGTACATCGGCAATGCTGTGGCCCAGCACTACCAGTTTCTCCCGCACCTGTTTGGCTACACGGCGCAGCCCCGCAGCCTGTATCCTCAGAGCCATACCCTCATCAGCCAGCTGGTGGCAGCAGAGGAACTGGCCCCGCTGGGCACGCCCATGCTTATAGAGGACGGGTGAGCATTTGTTCCATTCAAACAAGCTCCCACTAGAGCTTATAGAGTGCTGTTTGCTGAGGATGTTACCTAATTATTAGTGAATGGAGGCCGTTATGTTGGCCTCTCAGGGTCTGGTTTAGAATACTGTCACTGTCATTTTCCTCCTCCTAAATATTTTTCTTACAGCAGCAGTGGTGTGTTTTCCACTTGACTGTGCAAGTTTGAAGTTTTGCATTAATGTGTCAGATTAACCGAGATTATTATTTTGTTAAATGGCTAGTATTAGTACTTAACTGCATCGTATACGTCTCTGTTCTCACCTATTCCCACTCTATGCTCTATCCTTACTCAGGTATCGGGTGACTCAGGTGGAGCTCTTTGCTCTGTTGTGTCGTCTGGCTGATGAGCTGCTCTTCAGGCAGATCTCCTGGATAAAGAAGCTGCCGTTCTTCTGCGAGCTGTCCATTGAAGACTACACACGCCTGCTGAGTGCCACCTGGCAGGAGCTCATCCTGTTGGCCTGTCTGACCGTCTACAGTGCTCAGATCCTGGGCGACCTGGCCAACGTCACTGACAAATACACACCGTCCGATGACGAGCTGCAGGGGTGAGTGTCTGCCTTCTACAGACATGCAGTTCTGCTTCTGGCCAGCAGGGTAAAAAAGCGCTGCTGAGCAATAAAAAACAAGTCCCCAGAAATACTCACATGAACAACATTGACAGCCCGGACTGGCCTGTTGTTCTACTTTCAGTACATTTTTGAGTCATATGTGAGGTTGTTATTTGCTGATTCACAACTACTGTTGCTCTTCATGCTGGATAAAACCACCTTAAGATCATAGCTTCTTAGACTAGGAGCGCTGACCTAGAATCTGGTCCATTCAGAAAAGTTGTAGTAAAATAAGACAAGAATCTGATCGTAAACCATGAAAGCAGCCGCACTTTACAGTATCAAGTAAATACATAAATTTGCATTTTCATAAAGAAAACATTTGCTAAGTTAGTCTAGTTAGTTATAACCTTATCATGTAGTGCTAAGTGCTAATATTAACAAAGTAGGCTTATAAAAACGCTGACCTTCAGATGTCCTGTTGTTAATTGTCTAGTTAGTTATAGTAAACTGTTGTGCTGTGTGCTAATAAGAACAGTATAGGCTTATAAAAGCGCTGTCCTTGAGATGTCCTTGGTATCTTTCAGAGCTGTAAAACTGAAGCTTTAGCATTAGCTTAAGAAAACATTTGCTAAGTTAGTCTAGTTAGTTACAACCTTATCATATAATGCTAAGTGCTAATATTAACAACGTAGGCATCTAGAAACGCTGTTTTTGAAATGTCCTTGGTGTCTTTTAGAGCCTCAAGGCTGAAGCTTTAGCATAAGCTAAAGAAAATAGTTGGTAATTGTCTAGTTAGTTATAGTAACCTAAACATATAGTGCTGTGTGCTAACAATAACAGTGTAGGCTCATAAAAACGCTGACCTTCAGATATCCTTGGTTTCCTGTAGAGCTTTGAGGCTGAAGCTTTAGCATTAGCTAAAGAAAACAGTGACTAAGTTAGTCTTTATTTAACTGCATGCTAACATTAACAATGTATGCTAGTAAAGAGTTATGTTAAGTGATTGTCATGGGTGCTTTCAGACAGACAACCATTTAAAATGCAGTGTTAGACAAAACTAGTATACTGGTTATTAAAAACAATATCAGTTAACTCTTTGCCTGCTAGACGAGTTTGAGGTTGTGCCTGTAAAACAATATAGAGCTAAACACAGTCTATAGCATCATGAATCAAACCCTTATTTATTTGTTTGTTCGTTCGTTCATCCATTTATTCATTTATTTGACTGAGAAGCCGTCCCTCTCGTGCATTCACATCTTAATTGATGCGTCCGATTAAGTAGTTTTGGGTATACTGGGGCTACTAGTGTCCGCCAAGTTTCACTGTAAAGGCCGTAATTGGGTTGAATGTAATGATTTAAAGCCACTCTGCTTTAGTGGCTTTAAATCATTACATTTGGCTCATTCTCTACGGTTCAGGTAACTGCAGGCATCTATGACCAAGTGGAAAGAGGAGAAATGAGTCTGTGTGTGTGAGAGAGACGTGTAGGAGGGAATGTGATGAGGACAGGCAGACACAGAGAAAGTAAAATAGTGCTGTTATTTGTTCCTGTTTCTTCTTTTTCTTTTCAAATGTAAAACTTCTGTGTTCTTCTGTATTGATGACCATTTGATCAAGCTATCCATCAGATTCAGTCAGCTTCCGGAACAGCATATTCGACAACCGCAGGATAAAGTCAGAGCGTGCTTTGATAGTGGACGATCAGCAGGAATTTTCCTCTCTCGGTTTTGGCTTCATGTACTAGTTGTCAAGTCATTGTGCAGGTGTGTGCCAGGCTGAAATACTAGCCACATCTGGAGCAGGAGGAGTGTGTGGTGTGTCTGTAAATTAGTCTGGAATCAGCTGACCCTTGTCTTGCTTCTTCTTGATCTCCTGTGTATGTACTGGGGTGAACACTGGGTGCAATCACAGAGCGTCTGGCATCGCCTTTAAATGAGCCGATGCTGTTTTAAAATGATGACAGGCTATTAGGGAGGAGAGCTGAGGTAGTTTGAAGCCCCAGTCTACTAATTTTCATGTTTTTCTTCTAATTATTGTCTATAGTTTTTACTATGAACTGGCAGAGAAAGAATGCTGTTGGTCTTTTCTGTTGAGAGTTGTGTCCACTCACTGTCCACTCTATTAAACACTCCTACCTGATTGGTCCACCTTGTAGATGTAAAGTCAGAGACGATAGCTCATCTGCTGCTGCACAGTTTGTGTTGGTCATCCTCTAGTCCTTCATCAGTGGTCACAGGACGCTGGATATTTTTGGTTGGTGGACTATTCTCAGAGGTGTTTAAAAACTCCAGCAGCACTGCTGTGTCTGATCCACTCAGACCAGCACAACACACACTAACACACCACCAAAACGTCAGTGTCACTGCAGTGCTGAGATTGATCCACCACCCAAATAATACCTGCTCTGTGGTGGTCCTGTGTGGGTCCTGACCACTGAAGAACAGGGTAAAAGGGGGCTAACAAAGTGTGCAGAGAAACAGATGGACTACAGTCTGTAACTGTAGAACTACAAAATACAAAATGCTTCTATATGGTAAGTGGAGCTGATAAAATGGACAGTGAGTGAAGAAACAAGGAGGTGGCTTTAATGTTATGACTGATTGGTGTAAATATATATAAAATATACATATAAAAATGTACAAAGGTGAATATAGCTAAAAGCTAAAAGTGCTTTGAGGCAAATGTGTGTTTCAGACAATGCTAATCGATCTACATAAGCTTTGATTTCTTGTTCGCTACATCAGCCTCGTTCCAGTGCATGAGGGGAGAATGAATTAGAAGTCATTTGTTGATATTATTTAGAATAACACCATATCAGGTTGATAAAATATAGCTAAACCAGATTTGAGCGCTCCTCTAATGGTACTTTATAGCATACCATGTGTCTGTGTCCTCTACTTTGTCAAAGTGTCTGAAAATGCAGTGGTGTCTGTCAAGAGTATAATGTTAAAGAGGTTGTGTTTGTGCACACAGGTTCAGCGAGGATGGCATGGAAGTGATGGAGAAGCTGATCTATCTGTTCCGCAAGTTCCATCAGCTGAAGGTCAGCAACGAGGAGTACGCTTGCATGAAGGCCATCAACTTCCTCAATCAAGGTAACCCAGCGCCTGCTCCAGCCTTAGCTCTGCATAATTAGCTGTTTAAATGTTTTATTGACATCTTGCTGTTCTGCAACAGTGTTTCTCTTCTCTTCTTAAGAATCCTATATACAGTTGTATGCAAAAGTTTAGGCACTCCTGGTCAAATGACAAATGTTTTGTTGATTTTCTAAGTGAAAATAGGTGGACATCCTCTACAGAGAACACACTTCTGCACATTTTAATTTACAGATGCTGTTAATTAGCTGAATTTAACATATTGGGGGAAAAAATAAACCAAAAAAGTTATGGCACATTTTATTTTTTCTGTTTTATTTTTTCCAGTTTTTAATTTTAATTTATTTTTTTATTTTCATGTTGGAAAACATTTATGTACTAGATATATGTATACATATACACACACACGCTCACACACACGTGTATATATTTATATATGTATATGTATAATCAGTTTTAGTGTATTTGCTCACATTTTATCCAAACATAAAAATCCAAAAATCATAGTGTATCATTGTTATTGTATGTATTGTATTCCAGGATAAATGGTTCCTAGAGTCACACTTGAGTATTCTTTTTATTTTTTATAATAATTCTTAAATGTTATAATAAATAAATTTGATCAAATTGTAATGAAATTTAAGATGCATTGCATCATTTCTTAATCTTAAAAATGAAAATTAAATCATTGTGTAGTCAGAGATTAATACCTCTACTTGTTAATACTGTGTAGGTGACCCTACCCTTGTTCCCTATGGAAATTGCTGCTCGAATTACTTTCAGTTTTTCACTGAAAGAAAAAAAGGGTTTTTATGGCTCCTACTTTCCGTATTTAGTGTTCTAGCGTGCATATCCATATTAAACACTTCCAATATCTAAAAACAATGCATACTTCGGAGTCTCTACTATTTACTTGGTCTGGGTGGCAGAGCTTTTCCTTCCATCCTCTCTGCATTGGGAGAGCTTTATTGGAAGGTGAAAGAAAATAAAGTCAAGAAAATCAAGGCTAAAGCAGTGACTAAATGGCAGCTGCAGGTATAAAACATTCTGTAGCTAATGGTGAAGCACTCAGGCTTTCATCTTATGGCAGGTACTTTATCATAATATCATCAACTTTTAGTTTTCTGTGATCATATGAACACTTGTGATGCAAACATTTATATAGGTTTGTAGAAAATACAACCCACTAGAAACTCACTCTTCCTACTGTAATTTTATTGCTGCCCAGGTGAGAGTTTTAGCACCGAGGGGACATGTAAAAAAAAAATAATAATAATATTACAGACGTCAACTACTACTGATCAACTAATCCAATCCAAATAGGGCTTTAGTGGCATTTAGTGCAAGAAACAGGTTGTACTGTATCTGTCAAGGACACTGAAGTGTTAGAATCTCTTGCTCCGCTTAGAAAATTCAGAAAATGCAAGTAAGTGCTGATAAAAATCTGACTTTAAACATTTATTCAGGGTTCAAGATTTTTTACCACACAGTAACGTTAGTGGTATTTGAGTAGTTAGTAACAGGGATATGATTCATATACTCTTTGACTAACAGCTGCTCTCTCTCTCTCATCTAGATATCCGTGGCGTGACTAACATTTCCCAGTTGGAGCAGCTAAATAAGCGGTACTGGTACGTGTGCCAGGACTACACTGAGTACAAATATCCTCACCAGCCCAAACGCTTCCCCGAGATCATGATGTGTCTCCCAGAGATTCGCTGCATCGCAGGTAAGGCTGGGTCAACTAGTGCCGCTAGTGTTAGATTTCATTATCACTGTTGAGTTTTCAAAGCAGGCGAGGAATCAAATAAGTAACAATCAACAAATCAGCTACTCAGCAGACTACAGTACAGATATCCACATCCTTTCAACTGAAACTGAACCACCGTCCCGAATGAAACCAGATGCATTTTACACCTTTAACAGCTATCAACTGTAGCCAGCTATCCAAGTTAAATAGGTTAAATTTTACTATAATAAAAATCTGTATAATTCAGTTGTTGAGATGTAAACAAAGTAATTCATACTGTTGTGAAACACTCATGTAGTTATCTACAATGCAAATATAACCATTTTATTTACTATCTGAAATGACCAGTGAACCTTCAAGTTTTTTATATGTATATAAGTTTTTTTGGGGGACTATATTGCCTTTTAACACCCTGTATGTGCCTCTCCATCCTGAAAATGTATTAAAAATATGTTTTTGGCCAAAACCTTATCTCAGAATAATGTTAAAACACTGTTTTCACGCATCAGGAAATACAGTTGTAAAAATTTGATGTTCTGGTTTTCTGTGAGGTAGCCATTAAACACTTCAGACGTCTGGTTCCTATCACTACAGTTCAGACTGTAGAATGGTGCATTTCACATCAAACCACTGTGAATAAACTTTCTTTAAATATGCAACTCTAAGAAGTAAACCGAAAAGATGAGTATGGTGTAAGTTTAATCTTCAGAGTGCCACTACTTTAGTTAGTCATGCTTAGCTTGCCATGGAAATGCTTGTTCCAATGATATTGGCCACATAAAGAGGCTCTGCCCACTCAGATTACGGCTGCTTGACTATGGCAAAAATCATAATCATGATTATTTTGTTCAGTATTGAGGAACACTAGTATTAACATGATTATTCATTCACTTTGGAAAAATCATGCATTTATTGAACTTTAAAAAAAAAAAAATAAATTAAAGACTCTCTTAGAGACCAAAGACTCTAATTCCGTCATCTTGGCTCGAGCTGAACTGAACATCACTCAGCCTGGCGGAGAGTGAGTTTGGTCTTTTAGGGAGGGGCAAAAACACACCGCTAAAAAAGGAAAGGGGTGCTCTGGATTTATAACACAAGACAAAATGAGAAGATCTTTGCGAAATGGAATGTGGAACAGTAACTATTTTATCTCGGTTATCTTTTTTTGACCATAAATGCTAGAAGCCAAAATTTGAAAATTAAATCTGATTAATCGTCCAGCCCTAACTCAAATGTGGCACCGCCCAAAAAGTGAAAAACCATGACGACGGCTCTAAACATACTTGTTATTTATTGCTATTTTTATTTTGATGTTCCAAACTGTTTGTCCACATCAAGTTTAACAGAATTCAGTTCACTCTTTCATGCTGGGCTTGCTTTTATTCCTCCTAACTAAATTCAAATAACATCTTTAAAAATCTTCAGTCTGCTTTTGAAAACAGTGGCATTCAGTGGACTTTGTATGGACTCAAGTTCTAACAGTGTTCTCATTTCAAAAAGCCCATAACAGCACAGCACAGCTGGGACCACTGACACATGGTGTAGAGCTAGTAAAGTGAGTTTAGAGAGAATTTACAGTGATACCACAGCAAATAGGGGCTTTACAAAGGGCAAATATATGGTTCGGTCAGTCAAGTACTTCTTATCTATAGGCATTTTAATGCATTTGATAGAACCTAACTCCCTCAGGTAAGGTATGAAACCGATCCTGTTCATGTTACACACGGAACAACAGAGCAATGTTTCTGCTTGGTTCAGGTTCAGTATAGCCAACAGCAGCAAGTGTCAGGAACACAATGTATACAATGTCCAGAATGTTATGGGGTGCAAGAAATGTGGGTTGTTTACAATGAACATCTGTTTTCGGGTTTGATAGGATTTTTGGTGTTAAAATGTCTTGATTCTATAGAGCTACAATTATATGTTACAATTTGGTTGTAGAAAAATAGAAGAATGGTTCTAAACTGGACATTTTTTCTGCTGTGCTGCCTCAAAATAACCCCCTGAAATGTTTTGGGTGATGTATTTGATAATGTGTATATGTGGTGTAACGCTGCATTATAGCAGATGTATGACTAGGTCAGAAATGAATAGCACGATGAATTAAGCTTGATTGTCTTTCACAAATGTCCTGAAGACGTGTGTGTTTGTTTATTTACGCTGTATTTTGTCTCCTAACTCTTTTTTCCTTTCGTGTTACAGGGAAGTTGGTTAACGTTCCGCTGGAGCAGCTCCCCCTGCTGTTTAAGGCAGTCCTGCACTCCTGCAAGACCAGCCTGAATAACTACAGGACCAGCTCCTCCCCCTGCGTGACAAAGGGCACCACCCCTGCCAACTAGCCTCGCCTTCTCAGGCCTAAGAAACAACCCTCCTCACCTACGATTGCACGGGGGGGGGTGTCGGAGGTGTTGCTTTTAGGGGGCAGGGACTTTGGTACCCCCGCCCCCTTCGTGAATGTAACTAGCAGCTATTTTATACTTGTTTTTTTTTCTTTTTCCTCTCTCTATTTATTACCAGACAGAGCTGAATGTATACTGATCCACACTGCGCACACATTGCTTCTGTTCGTGCACAAAATCCGCAGCGGAGTTTACGCCCGCTGGTCCGACTGTAGAATGTGTCAGTGTTGCCACTGCTAGGATTAGATTTACGGATAGGGTTTATTTCTTTTTGCTTATAGGGACGTGTATATGTGGGATGCAATGTGTAGACTACCTCAGGAAGGCAAACGCTTCGGGTGCCCCCTCTCTCCAGCCGACACAGAGGGGCACATAATGCACACCTACGTACTGTATAGCCATTAGGAGAGAAATGGTCAGTAGTCCACAGGACTCTTTAACATCAGTGCATACGTCCCACAATCAAACTGGGGATTGAAGAATTTTACTTAACAGCTGCATATTTCTGTTAGCTTCTCTCTTTTCTTTTTCTGTACTTTGACCACAGTGTTATGTATAGTTGGCGGCGAGTGAGCGATCTGAACAGCGGGGTGATCCAAAATGAATGAAGGACCACAGGCGTAAGGGAACGGGAGAAAGAGCAGCAACCACTTTATCTCAGCAGTGACGAGTTCATGTAGTAGGCGCGTGTGAACATCTAAAAGGGCAAAATGTGAAGTAGCATTTAGCCACTTAGCAATGCTGAAGTGTTGTGTTGGAGAAGGAGGTCTCCTTAGGTGCTGTTTGTGGCCCCCCGTTCCTCACCTCCAGCTGGACCGATCGCTTTGAAACAGGGTAAATCTACCGATTCTTAGATTGAGCTCAGATATCACAACAATGATGCTAGTTTTTGTAGTTTGTAGTTTCTGGACATTGTAGGTCCCGTTTTAGATCTTGATTTCTTTTTTTTGTGTTTTTTTTTTTGCCCTTTTTTACTATTATTATTCGGGAAAGAGGGGAGTGTTGTTTTTGAAGGGTGTTTATGGCGTTTAAATGCAGATTTACCACTGACCTGATAGGAAAGAAAATAACGTGGCCGACACGTTAGTTAGGCTTTGAGGGGGCGGCCTGGCTGGCCTTGGGAACGCTGAGGTATTTTGTTGCTTTCCCCCGAGGCGTTGCCGCGCGCGGCCCCTCAAACTCTCAGTTCAAACATTCCAAAAAATCATTAGATTATGCGTCGAGTAATGTTTACATATTTTTGCACCAGACAATGACAAGCGGCGGGCCATACCAAAGATGTGTGTACGGCTTGGTAATGCCCCCCATCCCCCACCCCAAGGCCTCTCGAGTGCAGTTAAAATCAGTGGTAACATTTGTAAAGCTTTCCTGAAGCTTCTCCTTTACCTATACGTAACGGGTCGGTTTTAAAGACTGGGATTAAGCCTAGTCTTGGACTACATTTTCCATTCGGTGGAGAATCCCCATTAAGAATGCTGTGTAGTCCAAGGCTTGTCGGGAAACTGACCCTGAATGTGCTGGATAGAGGAATAGTTTGATGAAAAATCAAATGATGAAACCATTTTCATTATTCCAGATGTAGTCAGTCAGCCGAGACATGCTTGATGTCTGAAATCTGCTTTGTTTTGCACTGGAGCTACAATGCTAATGTAGCTAATTAGCATTGAGCAAACTGCATGCCAAACCTCCACACCTGCCACGAACCTAAAAAATGGACAAAAGTATGATTATATTCAGGTTTAAAGATGCTGCTACTGTTGTTTTATTCCTTTAGTAAAGTTATTAACTACATTAGCCACATTAGCTACAGTGCAGAACTAGTAGCAGCGAGACGCAAAGATTCATGTCCTGGCTAACTGCCTACGTTTGGAGTGAGGTGGTAAGTTGAATGAATTGGATTTTTTGCCAAATATTTCGTAAAAATAAAAGATTTTTTCATCCGTGCACTCTGTTAACAATCCCTTGGGTTCAAATCGAGTGCTGGAGGACGTTCAGCATTTGCCGTATTGAGGCTAAATGTTACCACTTTATCCATCCGCCACTTCATGTGTCCTTAACCGTGTTTCTAAGCTGCCTGAAGGGCAGTTCCATCCGTCTGAACTCTCTCTTTTTTTTTTTCTTTTCTTCATCCGGTCTCACGTGTTTTGCCTACGTTCGTCTTTTTCTTACTTTTGTTGTACCTTATTCCATGTTTACTCTTGTAGCTATTGTGAATGCCATTTTCCGTTTCTGGTATTGTGTTATAGAGTGAAGGCTTATCGTTTTTCACGGTCGACGGCTCGATGTCAGAGGTCAGGCTGTGCTGTGCCGTACCCAGCCTGAGCCTAGACTACAGAATGTTTTGACACGCGCCTTTATGCAACACGCTCATTCAGCCGTACTGTCATTCTGGTTCTATTGTGGCTCTAATTTCAGTAACTGTACCCATGCATCCATGGCACGTCAGGCTGCTGGCCACACCAGCCTGCAGCTGTGAGCGTTTAACTCCATGGTTTGCTTTTTGTTGCTGTTCCACTGGGGTTTGTTCCCGTCTGTGCCCTCCGACGTTTCTACTTTGAGCGCACACTTCTTGAGGCCATACAAGAGGGCTATTATGCGGGAAATTTCACTGCAACAACGGTGGAGATTTTGCAGGACATTCTCTGTGAGACACTGTGAAGCTCAGGGATATTTTATTTTTATTCTTTATTTTTTTTCAGTTTTCATTTAGAGATACTTCACAAAGACCCCAATCATGCTCCACCGTGACCTTTCCTGCCCCTCCATCTCTGCCGATTGATGGTACGGCTGCTGTAGGCCACAGCAGGAGAATAAAAGGCAGGAGAGGATGTCCATGTCGAAGGGGAGGCTTTGAAATTTTATGCAGACGCCGAACCTATTGTTTCGCCGCATTGAAGATCCATTCTTCCATTCGCAGTGGCCACTTCTTTGAAAGCCCTCACCTTCAGTTTAAACACTTCTGAATGAGACGTATGATTCACAGACTTCGCTGGACATAAAACTGTTATCTGACCTCTAAACTCAGTCTCTTTTTTATAAATATAAATATATATATATGTATATAGTACTGTGCAAAAGTCTTAAGCCATCTGATAAAATGATAAAAGCTATTTATCAGTAAACATTTATTTGTTGAAAAATAAACGCTTCCAGTACAATAAATACAAATAAACAAATGAACAGCAGAAGTCCAGTGTTTACAGTTATGATACTATACCTCATTTATCTAATCAACCTTTCATTAAGTTAACCGTGTCCAGAACAAATCCGTGACTGGAGTGCAGTGAGAAGAATTCTTCTAACCAAAATATGACTAACTGGATGACTTTTGTATGTATTTGTGTTTATTTGTATTTGGTCTAGTTTTCTAATCTTGTGCAGTGTTTTACTGACAGAAGCACAGTTGCTGCCCAGATACATAATTTAAGCAATTTTTATATCTGCTTAAGACTTTTACACAGTTCATAAACATAGGTACAGTCGTGTGCAAAAGTTTTGGCACCCCCGGTCATATGATATATGAAGGTAATCGAACACGTCCTCTACAGGGAACACACTTCTGCACATTTTAATACACACTTACTGTTTATTTGCTGGAAAAAATAAAACATAAAATGTAGACTGTGTCATGTTATGTATGTATTTAATGTTTTCTTTTTTCCAATGTGATAAACTCAGCAAATAAACAGAAATTGTAAGAAAAAAAATGCCATATTTAGGTGTGTTCTCTGTAGAGGACATGTTAACTTATTTTTACTCAGAAAAACAACAAAACTTGAACGCAGGGGCTTCTAAATTTTGCGTGAAGTGGATTGTCCTCGCGTTTGTTTCTCATTTGTATTTTTTCTATTGCGATTTCTACATTGAAACTACCTCTTTTGTGTGTCACCATGTTGCGTATTACTGTTTATTTATTGGTTTCATAGCACCGTTGGCCCTGTTTCTTTAGCTTGTTTCTTACGGCATCGTAGCAGGCCGCGGCGTTTGCAGTAAGACGGCTTTCTTTGTTCTTCACAGTCAGGCTTTGACTCATTACGTGCTACCGCTGATCACCTGAAGGTGTTTCATCCACTGTTGAGTTATACTGAATGTCGTTAACTGCTGCATGCCACACTTGAGTTTTAGCGCTCTATTCTGTCCGTTCCATTCATCGAAGAAGATTGTCTTTTTCTCAGTGCAATTACATCTTTCTTTGAATGACCAGTATTATATTTGTTGTTGTAAACACTGTTAGTGAATTATTTTCATTAAGAATGTAATTCTTGTCATGACTGACATTATTCTGTTGTTTACAGACTTTTTTTTTTTGGTCACTGTTTACCCACTAATCATTGTAACGCTGTGACACTTTTCAGCCAATCAGTTTTCTTTCGCTTGATTGATACGGGTACAACTGATTGGTCCTTACAAGACTATCAAAAGTGCTGTCAGTTTTACACAAAGACTTGTTCTCTTTTTTAATTCTCTGTGACTTGAGAGGAAACTCTAATAGACACGATGGTGAATGTCAGGGCTTAACCAAAACCAAAGGAGCCAGATGAGGAGGAGGTTAATGAGCACAGCTGATATCTCAGGGAACAGATGCACTCCTTAGAATTAACCCACAGACTGAATGTAACGACATTGTTGTAAATGTAACATCCAGTGCAGTTTGAGGGCACATTCGTCAGGTGTTCTCAAGCGCGAGTCCTGATCACACTGAGGATAAACTGATTAAATTTCATATTATTATGAGTGTGATGATGTGAACAGCGTGTCCTTTGGTTTGTGTGTTTCTGGAGTGCAATCTGAAGTGCTTTTCCACAGCTGTGTTTCTGGCCTCTCTTGCTGCTCCTCTTACTTTAACTACCTGTGGAAAAAAATGTGACCCATACGTGTTATGAAAGCATGTTTAGAATGTTTTAGGACTTGAAACCAAATAAATGTGAATCTTATGCAAC